TTGGGCTGTAGCTCATCAGTCCGACTCCTGGCTCCCAGGTAAAAGCACAGAGAAAAGGATAATAAAGCAACACAAGCTCCATTGAGAGTGTCTATAACTCACTTTTATCATTCCGAGGGATAACAACATTTAATAAACACTGATTTCGAAGTCACTCTTTAACCTGGCAGCTGAAATCGTTCTTTTGCATAATAAAACAATGGCGCAAAGAGTAAAAACCGAGCTTCACTTCTGTCTCTGAAGACTCTTTGACTCGGGCTCCCATTCAGTTCACGGATCAGATCCTAATCCTGTTAGGCAAGTCCCCAAACACAGCGGATTTGATATTGCAGCTGAACTCAGTTCAGTTGTACAGGGAGACGTCAGTCTTCATATCTTCCTGAAGACAAACAAAAATCATGTTTTGCTTTTGTAGAACGTTTTCAACGGCAAATCTGTTTATTCGGAAATTGATGAAGCGGCTTATTAGCGAGAAAACACGAACCACCATGTCTGACAGATACTGATATTATGAATATTTCATACTGATTCTGCATTAAAATTTACCAGCACTGTTTTAATCATGCAGGGAGCCTCTGAAATGAGCATCATGAGCTGTTTGTCTACATCTCAAACCTTGTGGCTTCAGCAGAAAGCCCTCGGTCCAGTCTAGACGGGGTGATGAACGACCGGTGTGGCGTGCTCACTCTGAGCGGCATTGTCAAGTATGAAAAATGAAATTATTACAGTTGCACTGTTACCATGGATCCTGTCAAAGGGGTTGAAAAACACCACCGGCGTTCATGATATTGTGTCACTCACAGCTTGGCTTGTATATGCGTGAAACTTGATGGAAAAACCAGACAGAATCTAGAGTTTTCTCTCTCTCCTTCTGGATTAAGATTTATGGATGTTATTTTGCGTAATTTTATGCTTGTTCAAAACGGTTTTGAAGGATTGCATTCGCCCTGATGCTGAATGACCGATTCATGGGAGTTTTAGTACATATTTAATCTAGTTTTACAAGTGAGAGTTGTATTATACTCCTCTACATTTTATATGTATGATTAATGGTCAAGGCAATGAAGCAGGTGTTATTTTGTTCAACACTGTCTGGAGTACTGCAGAGATAATGAGTGCTTCAGATCGCTCACCTTCACCACACAAAGGCGCACATAATACACCAATGAAAGAAAGATATAGTCCGCTTTCTCATTCTTTTAAGTATGAAAATAGGAGGCTTTTGTTACAATCGCAATCACAGATACCATCTATTCGCCATTACAGTTGTCTTTTCTAATACTTGGATTTAAACTTATGTTATAATGATACTTGTTTACTAGGCTTTTTCTTCATTTTACGCTCTAATTCATACCAAACAAAGTAATTTCAAGCATTTAAGTGGATAGCTTAAACTTTAGAGGTACACTTCAGTTCACTAAAACTTGTAATTTACAAGTAGGACTTTGTAGGACTTTGGTGAATGTGATTTCAACATGTGGAACTGGAACAATATTCTAATCAACCAATCATATTTGAGGGACAAGTTTACAGATGATGTCATATTTAGGCTTACAACCAGGGTTAGGTGCTTCTACACCCGTGTTATTCACCTCTCATTTCCCTCTGACTTTAAGGATAAATTTTCATTTTATTCCTGGATCAACAAAATATGCTTTACTTGGCAAAATCACGGTGACAGAAGGAGTTTTTTGGAGAATGTTCTTGTCCATATAATGAAAGTTAATGGGGTCTAGAATGACATGAGGGAGAGTAAATGATGACAGCATCTTCATTAATGATTCATATGAAGAAACATATATTTAGTCAGGTGTGTCTTGCCCACAGACCCAAATCAAGACCTTTCAATCATTCATTTTGATTCAATACAACATTCCTGAAGGCATAACATGAGCAGTGAAATAATGTTTGGCCTGAGAGAGAAGTTGAACATAATAAATGTTGAAAAGCTCCACATCGACGTGCAGAATATCAAATACACTGACATTATCAGGCAGTCATTTAAAGTCATATCCAACTCCCGTGCATGCTGAAACAGCCCTTCTGATGTCCTCGTAGTCCAGTCTCCAATGATAAGGATCATTTCTAATAAGCATGTCTCTGTGGTTTGACCTACCGCGTAAAGAGTTTGAATAAAGATGTTCTTTTTCTGTACAGATTTATAAATATATCTTCAGCAGTGGCCTGACACTTATGCCGGCCGCACATCTAACCCGAGCTCAAAGGTCCGTCGCTGATTCAGAGTGCTATCCCAGTGGTAAAGTTAGATGTTCTATAGATTTCAACCGAGGCGTGAGTTTTGTCACGCTAGCGCGATGAACTGCAGGGGTGAAGATTCTCCAGGGTGGCGTGCAAACGCATGCATCAACACTGTCAGTTTTGGCTCACGGGACTGAAATAGATGTGACTGGTAACCATGGTTACATCAGCGCCTGTCATATTTTGGCGCCATTTCTCTAACAACCCGAGGCAGGGAGATGCTATGAACAAAAGTCACTTAATTGACTACGATGGGGCAGAACACTACTATTCTGGTTCATTCAGTTTAAAACATAGTACGTGGTCATGGTACAGAATGCTCCAATGAGAGAATCCTGTTAGCTTTGGAAATTAATTAAGTTTGCCATGGTGTGGTTTTGTGCAAAGGCGAGTGTGGGTTGCCCGTGAAATTCATAAAGTAGATTTGCTTTTCTTGAAGGAAATAAATGTGTTCGCAAGGAAGAAAGAGAAAAGTTCTGTTTAATTAAAATACTGAATCAAAGGCATTTTGATGATCTGAAGGTCAATGTTATTTTTTTCTGTTCATTCTGTTCATGGGATTCACGTATCAGGTTTTTAAACACTGTTTGTGGACAGGATTTAAATGTGGCGTACACTCTTAGAAGAAAAGGTTCTATATAGGTTCTTTCAGCAATTTGGAACCCCTAAGAGGTTAAGGGTTCAATAATAAGAACACTTTAGGGTTCTTTGTAACCAGGAAAAAGGTTCTTTATGGAATCTTTTGGGTCTGTTCATTATCATTTGTTTTGTCCTTTCCGGATTAAATATTTCATATTATTGACAAACATCAAGACCCTAAAATGTATTTATGAATGCATGTGAATGATCACAAAATTCAACATATGGGGGTTAGAAAATGTATATATTTATATCATTTTAATATGTAGATAATCGATATCACACGAAGAGTGCCATTTCAGTTTTTCTCCTCCAAAAATCAGCATGATTAATATTAAGTTACTACAACAGTTTAATAAACAATAATTTAATTACAACTACAAAATGTTGCAGATTAATGTAATATATGAATGAATAATAGCCTATAAAGAACCTTGTCAACCTTCTTGTCATTACAGAACCTTTTTAGCATAAAAGGTTCTTTGGAGTTGAGTAAAGAACCCTATGCTCCATATATAGAACCCCAATGAACCCTTTTTCTAAGAGTGTAAAGTAATTTTCACTTGTTTGTGACCAAATGTTAGTGATAATCTGTAATTTGTGTGTGTGTGTGTGTGTATATATATATATATATATATATATATATATATATATATTATTATTATTATTATTATTATTTTTTTATTTTTATTTTTTTTTACTTTTGATCACCAAGTATAAAGGTTGAGAAATGTGGGACAGTTTAAGGAAAATAAATGAATATTCAAAGAAATAAAAAAACAGGCACAAATTAATTGGCAAATATTACAATTATTCTGATTGGGGAGATTTTCTTCTTTATTTATTTTACATTGAAAATGCCTACTTTAATTTTACGTTTTAGAAGGCTATAACTTGGTGAACAGAATGTGCATTATGTTGTTTGTGCTGAATTGCACAAAAAGTGTGTAGAGAATATTTAAGTGTTGTCGACGCAGATCTGCATTTATAAAGGGGAAAGAGAGAAAGGATAAAACCCTAAAGATAATCGGAAATTGGCTACAAGCACTCCAATCGCGTTAGCAATAATCAATAAGGCGGCAGTGCAACTGGTCGCTGTCCACGGTGCTGAAGGAAACCCAGTCGCTGTCCATGGTTCTGAACGAAGCCCATTCCCAGCAAGCCTTTGAGATCAAAAACCTCTCCGTTTCTCTCGCATCATTTAATCTGTGATGCGTCTACGTGACTAATTTGGAAGGCAATGGAGAGGAGGGGAGGCCCTGTGCCAGGAAATTCATCACGGGGGCGCGCAGACAAACACGCATGGCTCTGAGCTGCCGCAGCTGTTTTGGTTTACTATCTAAAATCAGTTTTTGGCAAAGTCGATTTTGTCAGAAGCTGCGCTGAATGAGATATTATTACCTCAGAAATCACAGCCCTGAAGGATACATATTTAAAATGTTTGTCTAAATCTATTGTGTTTCTTATTTCACTGTAAGATAACTGAAAAACTTTTCTCCAGTGTGAATTAATATTTCCCAAATATATTTTCTTATATTTGATTGAATTTGTTTTGGTAATGCCCCAGTCGACGCAGTTCCACACAAAATCTCACGGCTACAATATAATAAACTTGCCACAGCATTTTCTCCCTTTATCGTCTCAAGCATCCTTATTTGTCGCTGACTGTATTGAGAGCTGAAACGTAGATCATTTTGAGATTGTGTTTGTCACAGCAAGAGACCTTCGCATAACTCGAATCAATTCGCTCTCACAGGTCTCTCACCTCTGAAAACTGTCTCCATCTAGCGGCTTCCCCCTCTGCACATCTAGCAGCGCTGGATGTGTGAATCAATAACCTGAGACGTGAAAAAAAAAAAAAATATCCGCAGCGCTTTGCCCCAGTCTCTGAGCTCGTCATTCAACACTTCACTGTATTCCAGCGAAACTCTGTTTAATAATAATTCAAAGAAAGCCATTGGATAACTTTACACAATGCGCAATATAGGGTTCATAAGAGAATCAAATGCTATAAATAAGCATTTAAACGTAACACTACTCATGGCACATTATGCACCATTCACACAGGCTGTGCTACATTCATTTGTGTTAACCAATGCCCGTAGCACGTGACACGCCTCCAATGCGCCGTGAGCAGAAGCAACTTGGGCTCCACCGCAGACTCACAGATCTTCCTCGGTAGCGGATGAAGCAACTTCCAGCGAATCATTTGTTGCGGGTTCACTTTTTGTTCGGGTTACAGGCAGACCCTGCGAAACAGTTCTCGGCTCATTGGATTACATTTAAGAGAAGCGGATAGGAAAGTGACATTCTCTTCTTTTGAAACACCGAACGCGCACTCGCCAGGGTGGTCTTCTCTTCCCATGAAAGGACCACTGTGGCAGGTTTCTTCAAAAGCGTCAGTGTGAAGCTTTGACCGGTAAAAAGGATGTCCTTGGACAACGTGAATCATCTACCTGACTTTTAAACTTGTTGCATTTTCTCTAGAACAGATCCGATAGCGCGTTTCGGATACTTTGTGCGTAACGGCAGAACAGCGATTCAAAGTGGACTATAACTGATGATCTGTGTGTAAAAACCTGCACTTTTGCAACAAAATATATTTATGAGGAGGTAAGTTGTTTCTCTTGCTTGTGCGCAATAGGTTACATAGTAAAAAAAAAGGTCAATTCAAAAAGTATTTGTCCGAAAAGGCGGTCTTTTCATGCACACACACCATCATTCCATTGTGCGCTCACAGTAATTCCATTCCACCTTGCCATTCGAATGGTTTGATCTTCATAAATATTATGGCTCACTGTGCAGTGTTCTGAAATAGTCTTCCTTGAACTTTGCATCAAGTAACAGCGCATTGTGACTTTCCAGATGTCCTTTCTGTTCGTGGCGGATCTGTGAGCGCGAAACCTGCTTCAGTCTCACCGGGTCGCGCACATTGGGTCAGCATGGCAGCCGGAGTCGCCGCGTGGCTACCGTTTGCGCGCGCCGCGGCCATAGGATGGATGCCCGTGGCGAGCACCCCGATGCCGCCGCCTCCACGGGAAAAGAGGCGAGGTCAGGACGGCCTGATTATCTTAAACGTCAGCGGCACTAGGTTTCAAACTTGGCGGAATACTTTGGAGAGGTACCCTGACACCTTACTAGGGAGCACGGAGCGCGACTTCTTCTTCCACGAGGAGTCCAACGAGTACTTTTTCGACCGCGACCCGGACATCTTCAGGCACATCCTCAACTTCTACCGAACCGGGAAGCTGCACTACCCTCGCCACGAGTGCATCTCCGCCTATGACGAGGAGCTGGCCTTCTTCGGCATCATTCCTGAGATAATAGGGGACTGCTGTTATGAGGAGTACAAAGATCGCAGGAGGGAGAACACGGAGAGGATCCAAGACGATGAGGAGAACGAAAACAGCAAGGACATGGTGCCGCCGGATATGTCGTTCCGCGAGACCATGTGGCGCGCGTTCGAGAACCCGCACACGAGCACCATGGCGCTGGTGTTCTATTACGTCACGGGATTTTTCATCGCCGTCTCCGTGATGGCCAACGTGGTGGAGACGGTCCCGTGCCGCAGCGAGCAAAACCGGGCGAAGGAGGTGTCTTGCGGGGAGCGCTACGCCGTCGCGTTCTTCTGTCTGGATACGGCCTGCGTCATGATCTTCACTGTTGAGTACCTGCTGCGTCTGATCGCCGCGCCCAGCAGGTACAAGTTCGTCAAGAGTGTCATGAGCATCATTGACGTGGTGGCCATCATGCCTTACTATATAGGCCTGGTCATGGCAGACAACGAGGACGTAAGCGGGGCCTTCGTCACCCTCAGGGTCTTCAGGGTCTTTCGGATTTTCAAATTTTCGCGGCACTCCGCGGGACTGCGCATCCTGGGGTACACGCTCAAGAGCTGCGCGTCCGAGCTGGGCTTCCTGCTCTTCTCGCTCACCATGGCCATCATCATCTTTGCCACCGTCATGTTCTACGCAGAGAAGGGCTCCACCTCCAGCAAGTTCACCAGCATACCGGCGGCTTTCTGGTACACCATCGTCACCATGACAACGCTCGGGTGAGTCGATGTTGTTGCGATGCGCAAACTTGCTAGGGAATGAGCTTCTTCTGTCATGACTGCTTCAAAGCAGCCCTTTTACACCAACGCGTCAGAGAGGTTGAGCTGGAGATAGAATACATCAAGGGCAGGGGGAGATCAATAAAAGTGAAATAAATCAAAGAAATAGACTCCCTCTCTAGACTGTCTCTCTCCTTTCTCAATCTGGCCAGTGAGACAGAGGCCATCCTTTACTGCCTCATTGCTGGAAAAGACAAGACCTATAAAGCTATTTGATTTTTTTCTGCAATATTTTGTGCCATATGCACACACATCACAGGCAATTTAAAGACTTTTATGTAGTTTGTATACTTTTATTGCTGCTTTAATAATTAATATAAAATTAAATTAAAATAAAATTATATGTTAAACTAAATATTTTATAATGTATTTTACAAAAAAAAATATTTATATTGTATTAATATAAAATATGAAATATATCTAAACTTTCAGCAAGATTTTAATGAACATTAAACATGCAAGGAAAACCGCAATGCTGTGCAGACAATGAATACACAAGTGGGCATGGTGATAAGAACTTAAATTGGCATCAGTTTGCCTGTGACAACTGTGTCATGTAAAACCAGTAACAGTTTCTGACAGTTTAGGGAATTACATTTTAGACTTATTAATAGTATTTATCTCCGAAGGTGTCATATTTGTCGCCAGTGTCAGACTGAGCACAGGCTCTTCCTTCCGTTGGAAGCCTTCCTTGTTTATACCCAACCATCTCTATGTGCCTTTGGCAGAATGTTGTAATTTCCACACAGTCAATGAACACATAGAGAGACATGGCTGATTCATGTGACTTTAAGCACTAAAGGCGATAACAATAATGCATTCCCTATTGATGTGCTATTTATTCATTAATCTCATCACTCGACACCTCAGCGTGGCTTCTCTGAGCCTCCCACCTGTGCTGAGCGGGTGCTATCCGGGTGCGGAATCTGCCCTTCCCATGGCTGCACTCTGCTGCTCGGAGACGACCAATTCTTTGCTGGCGGGCCGACACGGTCCCGAGTCACACTCGAGGGGATTAATCAAACCACATGCCCCAGTACACATCCCGTGCTTTGATCGGCACGCCTTTGAAGAGCATTACTGTGTGTGTCATAACGTGTATTGCGAGCGTCAATCTGACGCCTGCATCTGGCTGATATGATGCAGCCTTCAAACGTAAATACGATCGGAATCTTTTGGTTTTGAGGTTTTAGTTTTGAAATAGGTGCTTGGGACTTGTTTTATACTGTCTGCTTCTCTTTACATATGACTAATGTTGTCTTTGAAGTCAGAAGTTCCTCCTTTAGACACCACAAACCTTCAGTAATAAGAAATTGAGGTTGTTAGAGAATGTGCATGTCCTTGTAATACATAAAGAGTTATGGATCACAGACTCCCCCTCTGCTTTACTGTCAGGTCTACATTGCCCTAAGAAAATGGTTTGGAGATGAGTGAAGGGGGGAAAAGAGATCCAGTATGAGTGAGAGAAAGAGAAAATCACATTGTGTGCAATTTGTGTCCTGCAGTTTTTTGCCTGTCAAATCGGATGACATCAATGATAAAATGAAATTACGCGCTGACTCTCAGCACTGTCTTAATGTTAGGAACGCAGTGTTTGTGTGTGTGTGTGTTTGGGAGAGATGATGATGACTTGTTGGAGCCAGCTGGTTATGAACTGTCTTCCAAACAGACCCACAGCTGCAGGGCTTCAGTGATGCGGCCCATACACTCATCTCCTCTCTCTGCAGGCAGGCATGCTGTTCCTCATTTCAGATTTTATTGCATTGCCTCAGTGAGCCTATCAAGAGGAGCACGCAGGGGGGCTGTCGCTACAGCAGAGATCTGACCTGGCAAAGTCAACTTCATCCTGTGATGAGCAATAGCCAAATCTTGGGATGTCAAACCGGGCTATGTCTTGAGACTATTTCATGTTTGAGTGGCTACAGCTTTATCTGGAAAAAACAAAACAAGTTTCACGTCGTAGATTGTTGCCTCTTAGGTTCGAGATCTCATCCTCTCTTTGTCTTGCTTGTTGAGTTCATCCAGTACCCCTTTGTCATGTCTGAAATCTCATTCCCTTCCCATTTCTTCTTAAACACACACTTGAGTGAGAGCCCAGTCCAGGCATTGCTAAACGACTTTACCTGCACTGATTGAACAAGAGCCTGGCTCTCTAAATGTATGCATCACTTTTTAATGCCTCATTTCCCAGACTGGAAGACAGGGATGGATCTGTGGCTCAGAGAGCAAGGGAAGTGATTTACAAGAGACGGCTGATTTAAATTGCGTGAACCTGGTTTTGGGTTTGGATTACTAGTAATGAAGCCATGTGATGGTCCTTTACCCAAGTGCAATTGGAGTCTGAGACCATTTCGACTTTCACCAAGGTTTTCACACTTGCTAGCTCAGGCTTCTTCAATCTGTCTGCATGAGAATGATTGAGAATTTTAATTATCCGTTAAGATAGCCTCTATCGTGCAGGACTGATACCTGAATGCCTCAACCAGATTTAGCCCAAGTTTTGGGTATATGCACCAGGGACATTGATGTAATATCTCTGAAGTGCCAGAGATATTTATTCAACAATGTCATAATATTCACCTACAGTAAGTGCAGTCCTGACCGTGACATACCTTTAGTCCAGGGTTGTCCAATTCTGCATCTGAAGGGACACTTTCCATTTCCATTTATTCATTTAGCTGACGCTTTTATCCAAAGCGACTTACAATGGGCTTTATGCCCAGCTGCACTACTTCCTGAACTTCAGCCAGCTTCTTGTTTCCTGTCTGCCGTTATTGGCCAAATTGATTAATTCAGGTGTGTCTGATTATTGTTGCCATGACAACTGAGGTCAGGCACACCTGGATTAATCAATTTGGCCAATAACTGCAGACAGGAAACAAGGAGCTGGCTGAAGTTCAGGAAGTAGTGCAGCTGGGCATAAAGCCCATTGCAGGTCACACGCCTCTGGAGCAACTTGGGGTTAGGTGTCTTGCTCATTGGTGCACATTGGGTCTCTCACACCAAAGGCATGTGTCTTGTCCACTGCACCATCACCACCCCCTTAACTTTCCCCGCAACTTAAGCTCCAACACACCTGCCTGTACGTTTTTAGAGGTCCTAGATACCTCGATTATCTGGTTCAGGTGTGAGCTAAACTCCGCTGGACTATGGCGCTCCCGGAGTAGGAATGGATACCCCTGATTCGGACTCATTTGGTGAAGAGACTGAACAAATCCATTAATTGTCTCTAATTTGCCTGTGATCTGGCATCAACGTTCAGTCCTCGCAGAGTTCTGCTCTTCCTAGAGCCGAGAGGGAGGAGACGAGGGACGGGATGCGACTTTGGTTCACAGTACGAATGGCCTCCGCTTCACTGGCCCCTATCGCCTCTTTAATGGACTCATTTTCTGGCATAGGCTGATTTTGCCCAGCTCAATTAAATCAGCAGCATTTTAATTGGCTTATGCACCGTCAAACGGGATCTATTAAGTGAGCAGCTGTCAGAGCTGAAGACATGCAGATATGAGTGCGAGGGAGAGTGAGAACGCTGAACGGGGGTAAATACATCAGCTTTAAAGCACTCGGGTACAATGATAATGTCTTGTAAATGAAATGCCCCCATGATCCTCCGCACAACACATCATTCTTTTCAGTGAAATGCACTTCACTTGGTTCATTCTCCCCTCTTCCAATCCTCTCACCCCCCTCTTCCTTCGGGGTTATGAAGGCACATAAAGAGTCCTACGGAGAGGTTGTAAAGTGATTGATGGAGTAGCATGGAGAGTCTATTAAACTATCTGAAGTCACCCTGCATCAGGTCAATTAGGGCCAGAGGCTTCAACGCCCACCGGCTATGGATCCCCTCCCCAGGATATGTCACACAAAACAGGGTGGATTAATCTCCCATGTTCATCGTGGTCACCGTGGGTTAAGCAATAGGCATAATTTCTTCTACGGGAAAAGATCGTAAGTTCATAGTGCATGAAAGAAGAGGCTTTCGACACTCTGTTCAAAGCGAAAGATTGAATCTTTGAGCAGGGTTGTGGTAAGGTCAGGCCATGATACAACATGTGAAAGGGACTCATTATTGTGTCTGAAAGAGCATGCCGGTGTGGGGTTACCCTGATTAGCACACCTTGAGCAGGCATCACGCAGAGAGAGGACTGCCCCAGAGAAATGCAATGGCGCAGGTGTATTATTGATGATCCCGGGCCACTCAAGTGCGTCCACCTAATACACAACTGGATGCCTGCAAAGGTGTAACCTACAGTATAGTGCATTGGAAATTATCAACATGACACAGATTACCATTTACTATTGTATTTTGTTTAAAGAAAAGCATGAACCAAAACAGAATATATTGGCCCCCGGGACTCTTTGCACGAATGCTGGGCTTTGGGGAACCCTAAACATGGGTCTAGAAGAAATATACACCCTAACCTCATTGAACCTCATTAGTTTATCCTAAAATTCTGTCATCATTTACTCACTCATGTTTTTCCAAACCTGACAATGAACAAAAGGAAAGGAAGTTATACTGGTTTTGAATTACATGAGGATGGCGAGAAAATGTTTTCTTTTCGGGTGTACTATCCCTTTAAACACTTTGAGAAACACTCTTTGAGGTTGTGCAATTTGGCCACAACGAACTTCCTCTGGCCTGTTCAGCAGACGTCCAGTTCATGATCGCTGCTTTCCCCCAATGTAATAAGTATTTCATATAATGGTTGCCGAGAAGAAAAAAAATGAGTGTTTTGACCAGCATTTTTTGTTTCACAGATGTGCATGACATGTTTCATGGCTCAAATATAGTGCACAAGAGAAACGCTGTATTTGAAAGATTTACACAGTGGCACAGCCACGGGGAAATAAAGAGCCCAGAATGAGGTAATTAAAGGCTCTTTGTCATGTGGAATAACCCCTGTGGTGTTGCTGTAGAGGCGCTAACTCTATTCATC